TATCAAGTCGTGAACCTGGTGAATGGGGTGTGATGAGCAAACTATCTTGGACATGACTTGTGTGACCGTAAAGGTTTAAATACTTTCTCTACCCTCAGTTTACTTTTCGAAAATTGCGAATCAACAGCTTTTAGGGACAAAATCATCGTTTTTGTTGTGAAATCAGTGTTAACAGATCGTATTTTAACGCGGTAATTCACTTCCTCAGTGCGCTATAAATTACTTCGTCACTAATCAGAAAAATTTTGTCTGTACGACACAGCATTTTGATTGGTTAACGAAACACGTGACCTGTTAGGTCAAAGGAAGTTGCTCAGGTCAAATCATGATGAAAAACACCATGGCGGAAATTGCTTTCTATCAAGAGTTTGTGTATGATCGAAAAACATTCCACAACGAAACTAATGATAAAGATCTTGCATTCGACATTCCGACAGACCCTATCCATTTTTGCACCGTAAATTCAGACTGTATGTAAACCGTATTGTAATAAAATGGGTATTTTTATAAACATGTTTGTTTCTTTATATCCGTAAAAGTGTTGTGGAAATCAATGACGACTCGTTTCCCATTATTTTCCTTAAAAAGACGTAATATTACTCCAAGACCGGCGCTGTAATTTTGATAATTTTTCGTGGTTGGGAAGATGGTTACAATTTTAAACCCTCCAAAAAATTATCTTTTCTGAAGTGGTCCTCGAGTATAAGACCACCCCCTAATTTTCCCCGATTTTACATGTTCAGGCCCCATACATACTAAAGTATTGAAGCAATTGAGCATGTACTTTTCAAGAAGTAGGAGAAAATAGCATTTTTTGCCAAAAATGACAAAAATATGATGACAACGAAGCTAAAAATATAACTAGTTAATTCATTTTGTTAAAATGAGTGAGGCTGCAAGTGTCAATATGAGTGAGGCCACAAGCTAGAATGTGATCAGTTCACACATGTCTGAGATGCAGTTGAAGAAGCAAACACACAGACAGAGATCAATCCATAATTCCTTGTTTTCTGATTTCATCACGTTTCCTTGAATGACAGATGTTAATGAACCCATGTATAAGTGCATTAGGAAAATCCTGTATTTGAACTCAGTAATATTGAATGATTTGATTTGGCATGCAATGGAGCTGGATTCATTAATATCGTTTCTGTAAACCAATGTATTTCAAATTTAATGTAATAGGTCTTGCATGGTCTTATATCACCGCACACCTTAAATAACAAAATTGTGTGACTTTGCAATAAAATTCCCATGAAAACCTGTCACAAGATGCAATTTTGTGTTTTATTTAACTTTTAAAATTCACCTAAGAAGGCGTTATGTTTGATTTTGTCAACAGTGAATGCAGGTTTATTAGTGGGAAATCTATCTGGGTACAATGGTGAGTAGATGGCTGAACAAACCTTTACTGGAAAGAATGCTATGGTATACTTACACTCCACCTTCTAATTGAGGTCCAACACGCTCATACATTTTGATAAGACGATTACAATTATATATGAACATCCCATCACACTGCCGATTCTTCAATGTTCATGCCAAATATAAATGACAGAGTTTTAGGCTCTTTTAGTGACTTTTGTTTCTGTTCCGCTATTTGTTTTTTCAAGTCTGCTTCTTCCCGGAGCTCAGTAGCTTCATTCTGTGCTTGCCTGACTTTCGCCTGAAATAGAAACACAAACCATTTAACTCAAGCGACTGCCGTGATGCTTGAATATAGTGTTGTGGGGGAAACTGCCACAAACAGTATAGGATCTTTAAATCTCACCAGATAGACTGTAGATACATCAAGCAGTAGACGGTATACCAGTGTGCAATGTTCTAATGATGAACACGCATTTATTCAGTTGTACAGCAACGAGATAGAGCTAGTTGAAAAACTACATACGCTAGGACGATTTGGAACAATGTATCACTTGGAGTACAAAGAATGAAGTCTGTCTTAATTAACACTCTGTCAATTTAAAGACAAGGGTGGATTCACACCTTAGAATTTTAATAACTAAAGATAATAAACACTGATAATCACATACAACAATGAAATAAATCCGATAAAAAGAAGTGGAGTTATAGTTAAATAACATGAAAAAGATATGTATCCACATGGTAATAACGATAAGTGTGAAGAATAAACTTAAGCTCCATCACACAGGATCTATAACAACTTGAGGTCTATGGCACAGGATCTATAACAACTTAAGATCTATGGCACAGGATCTTTAACAACTTAAGCTCCATCACACAGGATCTATAACAACTTAAGGTGTATGGCACAGGATCTATAACAACTTAAGGTCTATATCACGGGGACCATGTGACAATGTTCGTTAGTAACATTGCGCCAGACCGGCTCCTGTTTCGCTAAAAAAAATCTCACTAAAAAAGAAGACACCTCTATAAAGTATAGACGTATGGGCAACATAAATACAGTGTGACCAAATAGAGAAGAAAATGCCAGGACAAAGTTCAAAAGATAAGAAGAAAAAGCCAAAGACGAAAGAACATCAGCAGGAGAGAACCGCCATGAACGCGTTCGTTACCACCGCCATGTGTTCAGAGGCCCGACAGCGTGATTCGGAAAATGGCTCGGCGACAGAAGATGAACTTTCCGACAACTCCGTAAGAAATCTCACGAAATTGATAACTGATCTGAAAAAGAGTACTGAGGACGGCTTTAAAGAGATGGCTGTTTTAGTGTCCCGGTTAGGTGAGGTGGAAAAGAAATATCAAGATCTAAGAAGATTCGGTACAATTTAACGGAAACACGGCGAAAGAAAACACAGAAGAAATAGAACAACTGAGGAAGAGAGTCAACGCATTAGAAACAGAAAATAAGTATGAAAGAGAAGAAAGATTGAAAGAACAGAGATACTCAAGAGGGTTTAACGTAAGAATTTAT